ATTATTATTATTATTATTATTATTATTATTATTATTATTATTATTATTTCATGATGTTCTCACCTTGAAACATCAACTTCCTGAACAACTCAAAGTCTTAAAGACGGCACAAGATCAGTCTGATCTTTTATTTTTATTTTTTTATATATATTTTAGTAAAATAAAGTTAGTAATTAAAAAAAAAACTTGAAATGGTTCTTTTCAAAATACAACAATTAATTGTTTTTTGGTTTTATTTCTTAACAACTATAAAACCTGTGTAGTTATGTTTATTTTAAATAATTACTGGGGCAATTTATTTTTTATTTTATAAAAAAAAAAAAAAAACCTCCAAAACTTTTTTGTTTAAATTCTCATTGGCTCTTTGTTGAGTTTTAGTGAAACCCGACTTACATGATCGCCCGCCTCTCTTGAAGTTTTACTGTAAATGTTTTTTTAAACTCTCAAAAGAAAAGAAAGATGAAAAAGTCCCTTAATTTTACAGAAAAACATGTAAATTCATGTCTGTTTGTTCTGTTTCTGCGCTGCAGTGTCGGGTCGGAGAACCGGATCGAGTCAAACGGAGTCGTGGACCCACAGACCGCCGTCTGCACCGAGCCCGTTAACGGCACCGAACCCGTTAACGGCACCATGCCCGTTAACGACACCATGCTCGTTAACAACACTGAGCCCGTTAACGACACCATGCTCGTTAACAACACTGAGCCCGTTAACGGCACCGCCGAGTGTTGAGACGGACCCCCCAGGAACCCAAGTTTTATTTGCCAGAACCTCCTGTGTTTTTATTGGTGAGAATCGGATCGGGTCAGACAGCCTGGGGAGTTCTGAAACACGTTTGCCTTTTCTGCTTGGATCAAAACCAGAACTAAAATCTGCTTTTCACCTTTTTTGTTTTCTAGATTTACAAGTTAATCGGGTCAGAAATAATTCTGACCATAAAAGAACAAAATGAACTGATAACGAGAGCCGTTCAGAGAAACGGTTCTGAAAGTTCTGGATGTGAAAACAAGTCCAAAACGTTCAGCTTCTGCAGAAACTTTTGAATAAATTATCCTTTTATTTTGTTTTATTTTAACTCCCGACCCGATGGCCTCACATTAAACCTCAAACCCAAATCTGAGACAAACCCAACAGAACCAGTCTGGAAACAAACAAACAAACAAAGTAAACGAGAAGCATGAGATTTTTGTTTTAAAGTTTGGCGCTAAAACGTCGTTGCCTCACGAAGATCCGCTTGTGTCAGATTCCTGAAGATCCAGGACAGAACTGCATGTGAGTCCAGAACCTTTTTACTGATAATACGCCGTTCCAGAAACGGGGGAAATCAAACTAGCCTTTCTTGAAGCAACGCGCATCGTCCGCCGCCTCGCGCGCCAACGTTTTAAACAACAGTCCTTCGCGATCCGTTAGCGCTCAGCGTACTCATAGGGAGGACTCTCAGCTACTACCACACTGATCTGTAGCTCAACGTCTGTGAAACTGACTGACTTACTGCCTTGTTTGCATTTGGTAGCCATCTTGAATTGAACCAACTTTTAAATTAGAGTTTCATTAATTTCCGTCCATGGGTTTATGGGATATTTTGCTAACACACACACACACACACACACACACAAACAGAAATACTCAAATCATAAAAATAAAAAAAAGACAATAAAAGCAAGCGTCTCTGAATCAGAACAGCAGGTTTAAGATAAACAGATGAATTTTTATGGTGCTGGGAAGCCTAAAAGAGATAACAGGGACTCTGGAGGTTAAAAATACATTTCACTGTAAAAAATTAATTTTAATTCCACTTTAAGAAGCTACAGCTCTGAAATCAAACCTAGCCAGGCGAGACGAAAACTAAAAATTTATTTAAATCCCAGTCTTTGCCCAATCTGATGTGTTGTTAAAGCATTTCTGCTTATGCATCCTTTTCAGGGGTTCCCAACCCTGGTCCTTGAGGAACACCATCCTGCATGTTTTAGTTGTTTCTCTGCTCCGACACACCTGATTTTAGTTTATGGGTAATTAACAGGCTTCTGCAGAACATGACGTCATCAAATCACTGAATTAGGTATGTTGGAGCAGGGAAACAACTAAAACATGCAGGATGGTGTTCCTCAAGGGTCAGGGTTCGGAACCCCTAGTTTAAATAACCTGCTAAAGTCAACAAACTCAAACAAACAAACTCAGTGCTCAGTGACTGTTGTGTCAGATGTTTTAAAGAAGAAACAGGCTGAATGACACCCACACCCCTGACAGACTCCAACACAACACAAACTGTTTTTTATTATTCTAAGAAAACTGTATCCTTGGGTGAAGAAAACACCTGAATAAATGTACCTTTGCCTTCCTGCGCGTGTGCAGCCCTGACTGTTGTATTTCAAAGAACCTGAGCTTGTTAGTGGAAACATGCAGGAACGGTTCCACTCTTCCACCTCTGCTGCTCTGGTTCTCAGTCCCGGCGTGTCGACTATCAGCGTGTGGCGAGGCTCGTGAGGCAGGAAAACTCGAAACGTGTCGGATCTTTCAGGGTTGGAGGAGCACTCGTAGCAGGAGCCTCCTCAGGGTCCACGGGACACATCTTCATCAGGGCAGGCCTCGCTGAGAAAATCAAACAGAAATTTGTGTTTTTCATGTTTTCTGACTGAGTGAGGAGTGGATCAAGGATTGAGGTGCTTGTTTATTTCCTCTACCTCTCCACAGACACCTGCCTTTTTACACCTGAACATCATTTTGTTGTGTTGAAACTGGTCGGACACCATCACGTCCCTCCACTGGAGATGTCTTCCTGCACTAAATCAGCACTGAGCCCTGTTTGCACACGTTATTATGCGTCTTATCGTGCATTTATTGACCCCTATTTTGTAAGACATTCTTTTATTTGTTGTAACTTTACAGCTTTTCTGACATTGGAAGCAATTTTTAAAAGTATGCAACTACATGAGACATTTGTATGCAGCTTTCACAGCTCGTCGTTCTTTCTTTAAACACAAAGTCACGTTAAAAAGTGCATTTAGTTTTGTTCTGTTCGTGCAGAGGAACGGAGGTTAACTGTTATGCTGCGTAATAAAGGTTGCCACGATATTTTGCACAAACCTCCAGATGTCAGCATTCAACCTGCAGCAGCGTGAGGATTTCAGCTCCTCTGTTTGCATTTACTGTGGACAAAGTGGTTATTTAGGATAGATATTGTCTGTTTTGGCATATATACACGGAGTGTAAAGTGTTTTTTTAAACATATGGATTTTTATTTAGCATCACTTGAAATAAAATATTTAAATGCCAGACAGGAGTGGTGTTTTATTGGTTTTGGTCGATGTAAAATAACATAACCAATGCATGGAAAGTGTCAGTTAAAGCAATTAAACTAAAAATGTTGTGTAAAACAAAGTTTTGCAGAAAAAATAAATAATAATAATATATTTTTTAAATAATATATAAATTCACCACAATCAAAGAAATAAAATATTAAGAGGACAGTTGTGATCTCATTACATACATCTCAATATTTAGCAAGTTTGTGTACAGAGGGGCTCCTTTAATAGATTATTTGCAGATTTTCAGAGCTTCAGCTCTGCTCAAATTATTTTTTTAACCAAAGTCCTAACAAGGACGAGAAAATCCAAATATCAATATTAAATAACAACAATAAGAGTGTACATTTATTGTCAAATCTGTTTAGTTGTGTTTAAAAGCTGACTAAGTATATTATTGAATACTTGGTCCAAAAATAAAGCACTTAAAAAAAAAAAATCAAAGAAAACGAGCCTAACTTTTTTTTTTTTTTGCGTATGCATATGATGCATTCAATAAACCTCGAAAATCGGAATTTCAATGGGAGGAAAAAATGTCAAGTGGTTAAATGTGTTTCATTTCCGGGCTTTGAGGTGTGCTGAGTAATCAAGCTAGCAATGAGCAAAATAACAACGTGTTACTTAATATTATATTAATTCAAACTTTGTAGCAACATATTAACTAACAGTGTTTTAATAGTGTTACGTACTTGCCAATAATAGCTCGGAATACCGACATACAGGTAGACATTGAACGAACAGTAAACCGATGAAATGTAAAACGCTTCCGAAACAGCAGGGGGCGGTAATGCGCATGCTCCTGACTCCTAAACCAGAGGAAGCGGTAACGCGCATGCTCCTAACTTCGCTTCTACATCCGGTGGTCAGCAACTTTCAAGATGTCGTCCCGGTATTATCAGGAGATGCAGGAAAGCTTCAAAAACAACAACAAAAGCCGGGAGTTCCCGGCTCACACCGCCAAGGTTCACTCGGTAGCCTGGAGCTGCGACGGCAGGAGACTCGCCTCCGGTTCGTTTGATAAAACAGCCAGCGTTTTTGTCCTGGAAAAGGACCGATTGGTGAGTCCCGGCGGTAGCTTTTTAGTCAGGGGATGAATGAGTTAAACTCTTCTGCGTTATGTTTTAATTTTTTTATCACTCCACTATCAGCTACAGCGGTTAACATGATTAAATATTTACACATTTGTATGATTATACTAAATTAAAGTGATTTTAATCCCAATCTCACAGACCTAATTGGATGTGTACGACTGAAAAACTGTTGTGGAGTCGACCCAATTCAAGATGGCCGCCACAGTTGCTGTTCTTAGACACCAAAACAGTCCATGCTCATGTTCTTAGAAAGCACACAGGTGGTTATAATCCAGCCAGTTCTACAGAACCTGAGCTAAAGTTTGGAGTGGTAGTCATTTCTGTTAAACCGGCTGAATGTGATTCAGACATTGTTGGAAACGAATATCTAAAAAAAGTAAATGTTGGTGAAACTGACATTTTAACTTCAACATAAACGACCATGCCTAAAATCAAGGCCGTCAGGTTAGTTGTAGCTTTCACGTCTGAAAGTGACATTTGAGATGGTTGAAGCTGAGTTTTCTTCTGTCTGCAGGTGAAAGAGAACAACTATCGAGGCCACAGCGACAGCGTGGATCAGCTCTGTTGGCATCCGACCAACCCCGACCTGTTTGTCACAGCGTCCGGAGACAAAACCATTCGTATCTGGGACGTGCGCACCACCAAATGCATTGCCACCATCAACACCAAGGGTAGGGCTTCACGGGTTAATTCGCTCTGGTTCTTCAAAGCTTATGCAAACAGAAATAATTTGTGATAACTTCTCTGAATGGTTTTTGAAACCTCCAGCTGCCAGTGTTCTTATGAACCAGTACATATAAAGAAAAACAATAAAATGTAACGGCCACACATCCATCGTTTGAGCCTACATGTTTAAAAAGTTTTAAACCCTGTTTTCTGGACTGATTTTAGGTGAGAACATCAACATCTGCTGGAGCCCCGACGGTCAGACCATCGCGGTGGGGAACAAAGACGACATAGTGACCTTCATAGATGCCAAAACGCATCGCTCCAAAGCCGAGGAGCAGTTCAAGTTCGAGGTGAACGAGATCTCCTGGAACAATGACAATGACATGTTCTTCCTCACAAACGGCAACGGCTGCATCAATATTCTCAGGTTGGAATTTTTTTTTTTTTTTAAGACTGAACCCAAAAACATAAATTTGTTTGTGTGTGATCCGAGTCTGAAAAGAACCGTGTTTGTTTTTAGCTACCCGGATCTGAAGCCGATCCAGTCCATCAACGCTCACCCGTCTAACTGCATCTGCATTAAGTTTGACCCCACGGGGAAGTACTTTGCCATAGGGAGCGCGGACGCCCTCGTCAGCCTGTGGGACATGGACGAGCTGGTGTGCGTTCACTGCTTCTCCAGGTCTGTGCTTGCAGAATGAATTTTTGCGTAATAACTACCAGGAATAATGCAGTGAACTGAAGGTTGATGTTTGTTTTTGTGCTGCTGATGCTGCAGACTGGACTGGCCGGTGAGGACGCTGAGCTTCAGCCATGATGGCAGGATGTTGGCCTCGGCCTCTGAGGATCACTTCATCGACATTGCAGAGGTGGAAACAGGTCAGGACCACAGTTTTTGCTAGTTTTAGAAGTGCTGCCAGATTTTAACATTAGACATCAGAATCACATGAAGAATCAGGTTTTTCATGAAAATATTGGAAAAGAAAACGGGTAGCTTTCGTGTGAAAATTAATTGGATCCGTCTGAGTTCAAAGGTTAAGACAGCTTTAATGAGAAGTTGGGTCATGAATAGTTGAACGGTTCTCAGGTCTGAAGAGACTCAGCAGAAACCACATGGTGCAGTTCATGGCACGTTTTCTTAAATATTTGTTAAAATCACAGATTTTAGGCATAAGTGGCTAAAGTTTGGGCTGGAAAGCTGCTAGAAGCATCTTTCCCTGTTAGTTTTAATATAAGCTGCTGTTTTTGGCCAGAGGTGTTAAAGGGCCACATGTGGTTCCAGAGACCCCAGGTCTGAGCTCATCCATCCAAAGACCACCATCTGAATTTTACAACAAATCTGTGTTGTAGGAGAGAAGCTGTGGGAGGTGCAGTGCGATTCTCCCACCTTCACGGTGGCGTGGCACCCGAAGCGCCCCTTGCTGGCCTACGCCTGCGACGACAAGGAGGGGAAGTATGACAACGCCCGCGAGGCGGGAACCGTCAAACTGTTCGGCCTCCCTAATGACTCCTGAAGCGGATCAGCTGCTCTGCTCGCAGGACGGGGAATATGGACGGAAAGGAGGACGTCCTGTTTGGTCCAGACAAGGAGGATGATGAACATGAACTGCAGAAATCTTCTGTCACCAGCAGGAGGCGCTACTCTCCTTAGTTTCCTCCCATCTGACGTCAGTCCCTGGTGTGCCAGATAAAAACACTGTAAGATATTATTTTATGTAAAACACAATGTGTTTTTTATAATAAAATTTTTTCTTTAATATAATCTTAAATTTTATACTTGTTCAAAAATCAAAAAATTCTTTTAGCAGATTTGAGAATTGGTTGTTCAAATTTAACCTGCAAAAGCTGCTGCTGCTGCAAAATCACAGTGTTTTAATCCGAAGAAAAACATTCAGTTGTATTTGTATTTTATTTTGAAAGACACAGTAAGTGCAGAAATCAGGGCTGTTTAAAAAGGCCAGCAGTAAATTGGGATAAAAATTTTGTTTAATGTCTAAGAAACTATTTTTCAAGTTACAAAATTCATAGCAGGATGAATTTCTTGTTGCGGAACAGACATTCTGAAAATGACTGGAGTATTCAGAATTCAGTTTCAGGTAGAACTTTTGTTTTTGAGTCTTTACGTCTTTCAGGGTAAAGTATAAAAATAAAGTAGTGAAAATGCACTTCCGGTGAAAATGTAGTGTGAACTCTGAGAGCTGAATGATGAGTTTAATGATGAGTTTTTAAAACTAAAAGAAGCGCAACAAAGCTTAAAGCTAAAAACCTGCCAACGTTTGGTAAAATTCTGGCTAAATTTATCAAAAGGCTGGTTAAAGATAAAAGTGATAATAGGCTAACTAAAATGTATGAGTAGCAGAACAATAGCTAAATGCTGAGAGCAGCAGCATACTGTAGCTAAAAGCTAAGGGGATCAAAAAATGTAGCATAAGGCTAGTTTAATGCTAAGAGCTTTAGAAGGCAAAACTAAGGCCTGCTAAAAGCTAAATGTAACAATTTAAAAAAAGCTATGTAAAAGAAACGAAAGGCAAGTTTAAAGTAGCAAAAATTATCTAGTGTCAAAAGGGTATCTTAAAGCTAAAATGTACAAGCAGCTAACAGTAGATAAAAGGGAAATAATCAAAAGGCTGGCTAAATGTTAAGTGTAGCAGAATGACAACTAAGAGTAGCAGAACAGTAGCTAAAAGCTAGGAATAGATGAACAAAAGCTAAAAGTAGCCAAATAACTAAAAGCTACGAAAAGTACAAGGCTATCTAAATGCTAAAAGTAATAGAATAGCTAAAAGTTGTAAAAAAACTAGCCTAATGTTAAAAAATGTTTTAAAGGTTAAATAGATGGTAAAAGAATTAAAAGGCTGACTAAAAGCTGAGAGTAGCAGAATGAATGCTAAGAGAAGCAAAAGGCTAAATCCATCTATTGTGTATAAAAAGACAGAGTCTGGAGCTGAAGTATATTTTAAAGAGACAAAAGTTTTTGAAGGAACTGAAGATAAGTCTTTGTTTATGTAGTTTAAATATTTGTAAATAAAGGTAAATATTTTGAAAGGTCTATAAAAGTTACACAATATAAAGGCATCTCCTGAACGTTTTGAAATATGAACGACTAAAATAAATCATGCAGAGAAAGTCAGATTATAAACAAGGTATAGAAAAATAACAGCGAACGCTGACTCAGCGTCCACACAGTGATTAAGCAGCTCCAACAGCTTCGAGCTAACGGTGACTTGGTTTAAAACAGACATCAAGTGTCTGCCAGTCCTCTGACGGGACAGACGCTCACAGCGTGGGCCCAGGTCCGAGGCCTTGGGTGGCAGCTGGTCTCTCCTCTTCCTCAGCAGGCCGGCAGGATGTTTCCTCCTCACAGCTTCCTGTCAGCAGGAACGGCACCGAGCTTCTCGTCGGCCTCTCTCAAGTTATTTTTCTTCAACTCTGCAGGGAAAATGTGTCGTCCAAGAAAACAAAAGTGTCCAAATGCATCGTGCAGAGTAATCCACCACCAGACTGTTTGATGTTTGTCGAGAATCAAATAAATCATAACAAAATAAAAGTTCATGACTCCTAAATTTAGGCTTCTAGTACCACCTGGGTGGGCAAAATGTAACTTATTTATCGGTAAACTACAGGAAAAGGGGACAACTACAGAAGCGTAGAGCTGTCGCATGAAGTAAAATTATTGTTGAGCAGTATCTCGTTATAGTTTTATCGTTATATCATTATATATTATATAATTTAGGTTATAATGAGATACTTTTCTTGTTATAATGAGGTAGTGTTTCATATCATTATATTACATCGTTATAAATTGTTCTATTGTTGAAGTTATGAGATCGTTTTCTTATTATAACGAGATAGTTTTCTTGTTATATCATTTTATCGTTATATTGATATATCATTATGTATTGTTTTAGGTTATAACGAGGTCCTTTTCTTGTTATAATGAAAAAGTGTTTCATATCATTATATTACATCGTTATAAATTGTTCTATCGTTCAAGTTATAACAAGATCGTTTTCTTATTATAACGAGAATTTTCTCGTTATATCATTATATCGTTATATATCGTTATATCGCTCATGTTATAATGAGATACAGCTCAACAGTAATTTTACTTCACGTGACAAATCTACGCTTCCGTAAATAACTTTGGGAAACAATGTGGTCCAGTATTGAATACGGTACTCTCAAATAATAATAATAATAAAAGATTAATTAGCTAACCAAATTTGGTTTAAAGTGGGACGAATCTTTTGGAGGCTGACATAAACTCATGAAAAAGAATGATTTAACAACAAAATATAATTTTGGTTATGTGAATTGTAAAAGTTTAGCAATAAAGCTGTGTTGAATATTTTGCCTTAAACTATTACTGATTGACAAAATTGTATTTATTTCATGGCACTTTTACAAAAAATAAATAAACAAATACATTTTTCCCAATTGGCACACTCGAAACTTTTTCAAAAACCTGAAAATTGGCTGATTTTTCCTCTTTTGAAAATTAATTGTTCTCACATTAAACCTGCGAATGATCTCAGGCAACACGGAGATGAAAACAGGAAGCCCTGCAGCGTTTCTGTTCAAGGACCATCGTTTCAGAGCCGACGAGTAAATGAGACGTGTCAAGCACCTGGAATTGAGTTTACCTTTGTGGCCCGGTGCCGTTGGGTTGCCCTCGAGTGTTTCATCCCGTCGGCCTCCCTGTGATCCCAGCTGGGTTTCATCCAAGCCCAGAGCAAAGAGGTCGGTCAATATTCATGGATGTCATGGGATGATGAATCAAATTTACCTGCCTGAAGGGTCATCGTCTGCTGGCGAGACGGAAGCTCCATCAGACGTCAGCGGTCTAAACAACATTCACGCCTCGCCCTTCTGTTTACTTACAAATCACTGGTGCTTTAATGCAGCTCGGAACAAAGACAGTTACAGCTGATTTCATCATTTTCTTTCTATAAAACACTGATGTTCAGCTCAGGTTTGAGTCCCAACATTTTCCTTTGCTTTTCTGTGGATTCTGTCAGCATGGTTCAGCTTTTTAAGGATAAAAAAAAAAAAAATCATAATAAAAAGTCCCCTGAACTTAAAAAGTCACTATTAATTGAACTTTCTTGTTCCATCTGAACGCTGAGTCAGCGTTTCATTTTTCTGTGTTTTCTACAATCCAATTATTTCTTTACACTTTGTGCTATTTTAGTCGCTCATAAATCCAAACGTTTAGCTCATTCAGCTGAGTTTTGTGATTTTAAATACTTTTCAAAATATTTGATTTTGTTTACAAATATTTCATCAGTAGAAGCACTTAAACATCTCCTCGGTTGTTATTATTTAATATCTGCTTCAACACATCGGCTCTAGTTTGGTCTTTGTATGTTTGAGCACATTTCACCAGTTTTGACCTCCCTTCACCGGCTCCCTGTAGAACCGATTTTAAAATTCTCCTGTTGACCTTTAAGTGCGTTAATGACCTTGCAGCCTCATCTCTGACCTACTTCAACCATATGTTCCTCCTCAGGTGCTGGGATCATCTGATCAGCTGCTTTTGGTTGTACCAAAAACCAGTTTGAAGCTCGGAGGAGATCGGGCTTTTTCAGCCATGGGCTCAAAACTCTGAACAATCTGCCCCTCATCATGAGACAGGCCACTTCACTTCCTGTTTTTAAATCTCTCCTAAAAACACACCTGTATTCACTGATGTTTAACACAGTGCGATTTGATTTACTACTTTCTGTTGTTGTTTGTGTTTTTATTTTTTATGCTTTTAATTACATCTGGTTATTTTGTTACTGCTTTGATAAGCACTTTGGTAACAGCTGCTGTTTTAAATGTGCTTTTGAAATAAATTTGACTTTTCTTAAGCTTCTTTGAGCTTTTAGATACTGCTCTGCCACAATTCGCTAGACTTTGCTACTCTTTGCTTTTTTCACTAGTGTTTTGCTGCTTTCGGCTACCGGTTTGCAACTTTTAACATTTATCTAGCATTTGCTGCTTTTAGCCTTTTGTTGCAATTAGCTACTGCAACGTTTAGTTTTCAGCTAGTGTTTCGCTACTATTCTGCCACTTTAGCGTTTAGTTAGCCTTCTGCAACTTTTAGCTTTTATCTAACGGTGTGCAACTTCTACAGACTCATGTTCAGGCGGCTGTTTAATACACCATATTATTTTACATTATTAGTGTTGAGCATATATCTTAGATCTTTGTATACTGTTTCTTTTTATACTTTATATTTTTAGCTACTGATCTGCAACTTTTAGTTTTAGGTACTTTTTTGGTTCTTCTTCTTTCGGCTGATCCATTCTTCAGGGGTCGCCACAGCGAACTAAGTCGCTCGAAGACTTGGCGATTGTTTTTATGCCGGATGTCCTTCCTGACGCAACCACAGACCTCTGAGCTACCACAGCCCTCTGTGTGGAGCAGAGCTGCTACCAGGCACCTCGGGGAACAGGTGGTGGGGGTTAAGGGCCTTGCTCAAGGGCCCAGAGTGGGGCAAATGGGGGTAGAGGCAGGTGTGGGTGCTTCACCTATTCCACCCACATTTTTAATGTTGTCGATACCGGGAGTTGAACCAACGATCTTCAAATCACAGAACCACCTCTAGCCTCTGCGCCACCACTCCTCTCCCCACGTTTTTGGTTACAATTCATTTTTCCGTTAGCTAGCTTCTTGCTGCTTTTAGTTTTCCTTCAGCTTTTCAGCTACCTTTAGCTCTA